CATTTTAATATATGTGAAAGCCAACACTATTATATGTGTTTATAACACTGTTGTGATTTTTTWWWTWTTTTTKAAWTAGAAGTAYGGGTTTACTTAGAGTGGGTTTGATYCAATTGCTGTTTCTAYAGTCTCAATAGTCAGARTCAYAGAATGGTTTGGSTTGGAAGGGGATCTTGAAGATCATCTACTTCCAACCCCCTCACAYCTGGAACAYGGATGGGRCATCCACAKCTTCCCTGGGCAGCCTGTTCCAGTGCCTCACCACCCTCAYARTAAAGAATTTYTTTTCCTAATAGTTAATCTAAACCTATTCTCTTTCAATTTTAACTAATTTCCTCTTGTSCTGGCACTACATGCTCTTGTAAATAATCTTACATATATATCATATATGTACTATAAAATATACAAATTTTATGTATCATATTTACTATATAATGAGATAACTAAATGCCAGATGTTAACAGTATATTTTAATTGCTAGCTGAAGTCCAGTAAAAATCCACTTATTTAACTCTACACAGAACATATCAGAACTGTGCCTATAATGCATTTAAATAGTTTACTCAGTAATATCCACAATTCTTGTTGATTTTCATCGTGGACAGTTCTTGGCCAAGAATGTACCCAGAAGGCAGATCTCTGATGCTTAATATCTATTGAATTAAATAAATACACAAATTACATGTCACTGAATGCAATACAGGCTGATGATTCACAGATGYTGGATTTACTATAAAACAACTGAAAATAAGTCTAATAGAAGTTTTTTGTGGAATAATAATATCTAGTTTAACTGTCTTTAGTAAGGATATGATGCATGTTTTCCCTTACTCACTGGGAATTGTTTTTATATAGCAGTTGCAATTTAAATGTGGCCGTTTCCTAGCACAAGCAAAGTGCCTTTTGAACTGCATGTTTTGGGAAATGAAAACAGGGCTGGTTTTGTTCAGTTTTTTTCTGGTTTCCCAAGGACACCAGGTTTATGCCTCTATATATGTGTTTCCCTTCACTAATTTAAGTCAAATTTTCAGTGGGGAAGAGGCATTAAGAAGTGAATTTTTCATTAAGTTTATGCAAGGAAGGGCATGTTTAGAGGAAGATAGGTACTTAATACTATAATTTGAGGAGAAGCTATASCATGAGCTTCAGTCTTGTTGGACATYAGAAAATCCACAGAGGGAGAAGGTATTTTACATAATCTACCCCCCAGAAGGGCTTTAGTCATAGCTCACACCTTATTAGGCCCTACAGGATWAATTCCTCAACCAAGACTCTTCTCAGACATGAAAATGCAGGTACAAATTCAGTTCCCACATGATTAGACCTTTCACAACAGTCTGTGTGTCTTTCCCTCTCTACATTTCACTTCTATTCAGTTTAAAGAGCAGTTATAGGATCCCAAAAACCCATAATTCTGCTCTTAATATAYATTTAAGATATATAGGCTGTGAAACTTGGCAATACTTTAAGTTCTTCCCCACTTCAAGTAGCTGTCAATTAACTAGAGATTTTTTTAATGTGAAGTGTTACAGCGTGGGAGTTCCTCCTTGAAGTGTAAAGGAAAGTATGTCCATGGGGGAAAATGCAATACTTCACATTTCATTTTAAAGTTATTGCCTGCAGTAGTGACATARACACTAAATGGAAGCAAATCAGTGATTGCATCTTCAAGACTTGAGACTGTTGTGGAACTGGAAGAAATGGAAACTCATTATTGGATCTGGAGGAAAATATTGCCTTGTGGAAAGAAGAAGGAGTTAAGTTTTATTTGATTGGTTTTCTATTTTTAAAATTATGTAATGTTATTTGYTCTTTTATTCGGCCAGAGTTTTATGGTGGCTACAGTCCCAAGTTTGCTTCTAAGGGAAAATGTACCAAAGGTGTATGATGTGTGCTAGACCAAAGTATTTTAATGGGTTTGCACAGAAGCATAGGATTTTGCAGCTTGGAGCCACACTGAGAAACTCTGTCATACATTGTTCACTTAAAAAGGGAGAAGAGAGAAACTCTCCAGATGCTCTTTACAGTAGATTCTGAAAATAGAAAGTTCATGAAGATCCATTTTCACAAAATGYAGTGCATGAAGTGATGCTTCATGTGTGATTCCTTTTACTTACTTTGTAGCGTATTGTAATGTTAGCACACAGCAAGGTGAGGGTTTTGTGACAATTATTGCTTTACAGAAACTGATGCTGTTTTTTTATTTCAACCTTCAGCATCTCTGTATATCTTCAAATAAAACATTAACTMTGCTTACTTTAAAATTACCAATTTCTGGGTCAAATTTAGGAATTAATGTCTGCCTGAGCTAATGGTAGAACTGGAGACACATAACCAGTGAAAGAGAATGTTAAAGAGAAAATAGCTTTTGGACTTCTTAGAAGAGATTTTGCGGAAAAGCATTTAATTAGACTGAAGTACTTCCTTGCAATTCAAAATCAGCCAGAAAGAAATTTAACTTCCCACCGAGAACTAATTATGTGGTTTTCTCCTTTAAACCTAAAGGAAATATTTGAACTGAAAGCCAAACACCTCMAACTCTTCCTAAAAGTCTCGGACAGCCAAGTTCTGGAGTATCTGGAGATTTCTACTCCATTCCTCACAGTGCACTGAGTGTATTCATACACTTAATACTATTTTTTTAAAATGTATGTTTAATTGTCTGTTACTAATAGTTGGCATTTAAAATGGTTTTCAAAGACGCGCAGTTGAGAAGTTACAGRTACCCCACTCCTTTTTGAAACACGCAGATGAAAGGAATGAGAAGGTAGTGTCTTTACAAACAGACTCTGACTCTGGGTGAGATAAGGCTGATATTGGGAGATAGAAAGAAACAATAGGAAGGATTTGCATAGGAATTCTACTGATTGGCTTACCCCAGTCTATGTTAATAGACTACCTGAGCAGAGACACAGAGATGGATATTGAAAGGGAGCAATTTATGATAGAAGGGGGGTTTCATCAGGCGTTTCGGGGAGCCTGTAACTTTCAAGTACCTCAGCCAACAGGAAATGAAAGAGGGAACCGCGGCCGAGAAATTGGGATAAAAGGAGGCTGCATCCTCTATGAATTTGAGAGACCCCATGRGAAATGCCCATGACCTCTCCCTTTATTCATGAATAAAGTTGTGGGACTCCTCTGTCTCCTTTTTGGACATAAACCTCTGGTGCTTGTGGATTAATTTTCCTAACACAGAGATGTCCCCAAAGAGCCAGAACCGYGGATTAGTGGTCAATGCCTCCTGCGTGGGCCACTTCGGAAACGCCTTGGAACGAATGCAAAAGCATGCGTGAATCATTTTAACAGGGGAGATTCTGCACGGGTGTGACCTGTACGGCGCCTTTCCCGTTTTGTCAGCAGCGCTTCAGCCCCGCGCCCGTTGG